CAGTTTGGTCAGGCTCATGTTTGTAGCTTCGAGAACACTATCCAACCATCTCATCCTCTGTCGTCCCCTTTTCCTTGTGCCCTCCATCTTTCCCAACATCAGGGTCTTTTCCAGGGAGTCTTCTCTTCTCACGAGATGGCCAAAGTATTGGAGCCTCAACTTCACGATCTGTCCTTCCAGTGAGCACTCAGGGCTGATTTCCTTAAGAATGGATGCGTTTGATCTTCTTGCAGTCCATGGGACTCTCAAGAGTCTCCTCCAGCACCATAATTCAAAAGCATCAATTCTTCGGCGATCAGCCTTCTTTATGGTCCAGCTCTCACTTCCATACATCACTACTGGGAAAACCATGGCTTTAACTATACGGACCTTTGTTGGTAAGGTGATGTCTCTACTTTTTAAGATGTTGTCTAGATTTGCCATCGCCTTTCTCCCAAGGAGCAGGCGTCTTTTAATTTCGTGACTGCTGTCACCATCTGCAGTGATCATGGAGCCCAAGAAAATAAAATCTCTCACTGCCTCCATTTCTTCCCCTTCTATTTGCCAGGAGGTGATGGGACCAGTGGCCATGATCTTCGTTTTTTTGATGTTAAACTTCAGACCATATTTTGCGCTCTCCTCTTTCACCCTCATTAAAAGGTTCTTTAATTCCTCCTCACTTTCTGCCATCAAGGTTGTGTCATCTGCATATCTGAGGTTGTTGATATTTCTTCCGGCGATCTTAATTCCGGCTTGGGATTCATCCAGCCCAGCCTTTCGCATGATGAATTCTGCATATAAGTTAAATAAGCAGGGGGACAATATACAGCCTTGTCGTACTCCTTTCCCAATTTTGAACCAATCAGTTGTTCCATATCCAGTTCTAACTGTAGCTTCTTGTCCCACATAGAGATTTCTCAGGAGACAGATTGATGGCCTTACCTCCCATGAATTTATGTTCTCTTTGGGACCCATCAAAGTTAGTGGCCATCCTTCAGGAGCGAGCCCCTTAATTTAGCAACGCTATTCCCACCCTGGTTACGCTTGGAGGCTGAAATTTCCCCCAGTCTTGAGCCCCACTTGTGTTCCAGGCTGCACTTGCAGTTTACATGCTCACAGGTTGTCCCATTCATTTCTATGGAGAAAGCAAACCCGCTTTGCTTTATGCATGTGGACCGGATGCAGAAATCTCGGTGAGCCCCGGAGCCCTCACTCACACCGGGACTGAAGCATGAGCCAGCAGATTCCAAGCGTAAGGATTTAGGAGCCGATGCCATTTTACACGGGGCACACTCACTCAACAATTGGGAAACGCTTGTCTACGAGCGCTCCAATTGGAGAACAGCCTTTACCAAAGATGTTATGGGTTCTGAAGACACTCGAACTCAGGACAAAAGGGAGAAATGTGCTAAGAGGAAGGCACATTTGGCAAATCCACACCGTGATCAACTCCTGCCCAGAAACCAATGTCCCCCACTGTGGAAGGACGTGTGGATCCAGAATTGGCCTCCACAGGCATTTACGGACTCATTGTTAAAACCATGTTTATGGAAGACAATCTTACCCGGCTACGAGGGATCACCAAAGAAGAAGAAGAAGAAGAAGAAGAAGAAGAAGAAGATGACGATACACACAGGGCACAGTAAAAAGGTAAAGGGTAAAGGGACCCCTGACTATTAGGTCTAGTCGTGGCCGACTCTGGGGTTGCGGTGCTCATCTCATTTTACTGGCCGAGGGAGCCGGCATACAGCTTCCGGGTCATGTGGCCAGCATGACTAAGCTGCTTCTGTCAAACCAGAGCAGTGCACGGAAACACTGTTTACCTTCCCGCAGGAGTAGTACCTATTTATCTACTTGCACTTTGATGTGCTTTCAAACTGCTAGGTTGGCAGGAGCAGGGACCGAGCAACGGGAGCTCACTCCGTCGCAGGGATTCGAACTGCTGACCTTCTGATCGGCAAGTCCTAGGCTCTGTGGTTTAACCCACAGCGCTGAGTCCTTGATGGTTATATCTGCACAATAGACATAATTGTCAAAACTTGTTTGCACATTTCACATTTTTAGGTGTATACTTTGATTACACACACACGCACATGGGTGCCAGCTTGAATAAAATGGGGGGGGGGGAGACAGGTAAGCCGTACCCCACGTAATCAATCACAAGACACAGTGCATGCACACTATTTGAATGGCAGTGCTCATCAACTTGTGGGGGGCCTGTCCCCTCCTATGCACACACATGCACATATCCGTGTAAGAATATATTGCATGAAAAGTGGCACATCATTTCCAAGAGTCAGTGAAACTAACTTTGATGTGTCACAGTAAGGTAAAGGTAAAGGGACCCCTCACCATGAGGTCCAGTCGTGGCTGACTCTGGGGTTGCGGTGCTCATCTCATTTTATTGGCCAAGGGAGCTGGCGTACAGCTTCCGGGTCATGTGGCCAGCATGACTCAGCCGCTTCTGGCGAACCAGAGCAGCACACGGAAACGCCGTTTCCCTTCCCGCCGGAGCGGTACGTATTTATCTACTTGCACTTTGACGTGCTTTCCAATTGCTAGGTTGGCAGGAGCAGGGACCGAGCAACGGGAGCTCACCCCGTCGTGGGGATTCAAACCACCGACCTTTTGATCGGCAAGTCCTAGGCTCTGTGGTTTAACTCACAGTGCCACCCGTGTCCTTTATGTGTCTCAGTACATTCTGGTTAACCCCAAATATAAAAAAACATTTCAAAAGTATGTGTCTGATGGAGGGAATCCCAACTTCAAATTCCAGCTCAGCTATAGGCTTGCTTTCATGTCTCTGTCCCTTGGCAAATATATCTGCAAAGTGTACAAGCCCAACTTTTAATTTTAACTAGTCCACCTGTCTAAACATCCCTGTTGGCTATTTGCAACTTAAAAGAAATAGGGAACCATGGTAGGGTTTCACTGGGGAATCATTACTTGCCATAGGTGAGTGGAGAAGGATTTATTTACAAACCAGCAATTAGAGTTCTTAACTCCCACTAGCCTTAATGGGATTTAAACAGCCCTACGTTGAGATCCAGCTCTATTTTTGTCTTCTCCATGTTATTAAGAAATTTTCATTTTGAACCCTATCTGCCATTTTCCATTCTTTTGTGCTCCTTCCCATGACAGATCATTTGCTTTCTTTCTTCCCAAACTAAAGCCTGTAATTTCAACTGTCAATGACCGCCCCCCCCGAAAGTTCCCCCTGCAAATTTTTCCTCTTTCTGCAAAAATAATGCGGCTTGTACAAAATGACAAACTTTGCGGGTGCTTTTTTCCAGTACAAATTTAATAAATATAAAACGCATTTCCGAGCAAAATAATTACATTTCTGAAGCAACTTGAGGTTTTTTTCTGTGTGAAATGAGTTTACATGTCTTTCACATAAGTTCAACTCAGCTGCCCTGTCGTGGATATATTTTGAGTGGGAATAAATGTTTCTGAAGGATGGATAGCAAGGGAGATTAATTCTTTCGGGGTGACAATACAGCTTGGAGTTTGATTAAAATGGGACAAGTTCTCCAACCCCAATTCCCCCCCCCCCGAAATTGGCAGTGTTACATGCACCAGGGCATCCCGTCTGCAAGCTGCTCATGTGCACTGGCCTGATCCTGCACAGGAAAACTAATGCACACAGTGTATGCAATGTGCAAACAGCCCTGCCAGGCCTCTAATCTTGGCTCACTGGGTTGTTTGGGGCAAACCTAAATTTCCTGGACCTGACATCATATATGACATCTGGAAGCTTCAAGGTGTGGCTGAAAGGAAGAAGAATCTGGAGTGCTGTTAAAATGAGCCCCTGATTCTTCCTTAACAGTCATGGCTTGAATTCAAACCAGGGGTGCAAGGAAACATTTCCCCTTTGCAACCCAGCTTGGAAGTACAGTGGTACCTCGGGTTAAGAACTTCATTCGTTCTGGAGGTCCGTTCTTAACCTGAAACTGTTCTTAATCTGAAGCACCACTTTAGCTAATGGGGCCTCCCGCTGCTGTGCAATTTCTGTTCTCATCCTGAAGCAAAGTTCTTAACCTGGGGTACTATTTCTGGGTTAGCGGAGTCTGTAACCTGAAGCATCTGTAACCTGAAGCGTCTGTAACCCGAGGTACCACTGTAAGGCAGGGAGAGCCCTTCTTGTCCAAGGCAACACATTTTATATGGGAAGCCTCTGGGGGTGAAGGATGAGGCCAGGGAGTTGCTAGTGACCATTATACTGGAATGTAGACCTTATCCCAATTGACAGAGCTCACCTGTTTGCTCATACAGTGCAGCACGATTGCATTAATTTTTTTTAAAAAAAATTCGCACACACCCAGGGTTATTTTGTAGGGCTTTTCGTAGGGGAGTCGGGTTTAAATGCAACGCAGAGAAAATAACACTTTTGCCTCTTCCTAACCATCCAGATGGGACGCGGGTGGCGCTGTGGGTTAAACCACAGAGCCTAGGACTTGCCGATCAAAAGGTCGGCGGTTTGAATCCCCGTGACGGGGTGAGCTCCCATTGCTCGGTCCCTGCTCCTGCCAACCTAGCAGTTCGAAAGCACGTCAAAGTGCAAGTAGATAAATAGGTACCGCTGCAGCAGGAAGGTAAACGGCGTTTCCGTGGGCTGCTCCGGTTCGCCAGAAGCGGCTTAGTCATGCTGGCCACATGACCTGGAAGCTGTACGCCGTCTCCCTTGGCCAATAAATCGAGATGAGCGCCGCAACCCCATAGTCGGCCACGACTGGACCTAATGGTCAGGGGTCCCTTTACCTTTAACCATCCAGACAGCCTTCCATGCTCGTATATGTCTATACACCCCAGGCTTAAATTGCGGTGGCATAGAACAATTGTCTACATGTGCGTGTGAATCTACAGCGGTACCTCAGGTTACATACGCTTCAGGTTACAGACTCCGCTAACCCAGAAATAGTGCTTCAGGTTAAGAACTTTGCTTCAGGATGAGAACAGAAATTGTTCTTCGGCAGTGCGGCAGCAGCAGCAGGCCCCATTAGCTAAAGTGGCGCTTCAGGTTAAGAACAGTTTCAGGTTAAGAACGCACCTCCGGGACAAATTAAGTACTTAACCCGAGGTACCACTGTACTCCTGTTCTTGCAAGTCTGTGCCTTTTCTGCTCTCTCTTTCCTTTTGTAGGCACATTTGTGTGATGCAGACAGAACACACACACACACACACACACACACATCCTATAGGCCCAGTCTAAATACCGGCTTATGAATGGTCCTTAAACTGGTGTTTCCAAGGTAGCAGGCCCTTCGGCAGAACAGCTGTGCTCTTTCCAAGCAGGATCCCTCCCCATTTTTCAGGCGTTGGTGGCGAGACGGGCTGGCGTCAGGTTACACATCCAAGGGGTATTTATATTAATGCATGTTCTCGGAGAACTGGGTGTTTCTTCTCACCCCCCCCCCCGCTCACCCCGCTTTTCGTTGCTAGAGAAACCAAATTAAAGACACCCGAAGCAAGTCATCTGTTCCATGAAATTCTCCTGCAAAGGATCGATCCCAGCCAGAGGGGCTCTAGACCAAATCCTCTTGGCCGGGTTTCAAACAAAGTTTGCTGCAGCCACAGACAGAGGCCAGGACTAGCACACTGGAAGTGGAAGAAGTGACCTTGAACTTTCTTGCCGAGCCAAACAGTCAGAAATTTGATCCCTGGTCCCAGAGCTGGTCCCTGCAGTTACGAGTGTTGTTTGGGTTTGTCGAAGGAGTCGCTGAGTTTTTTCAGTGTCTTTTTAATCCTCAAAGCTGTGAGTCGGGCTGGGGGGCTCTGAAACCAGCATTCTTTCATGATCTTGGCCAGGGCGGACAAAGTCTGGGAGGCAGGGGTGAGGGGAGACAGAGAAAGAAAAAAAGGGGAGGAGGAGGAATATTATTTTCACACAGGAACAACTGCAACATTCAACTACTATAGGCTTTCCTCTAGTATAATTCTACGTGATCAGAATCCTGTTGAAACAAAAAAACAAAAACAAAAAAAAATTCCTTCCAGTAGCACCTTAAAGACCAACTAAGTTAGTTCTTGGTATGAGCTTTCGTGTGCATGCACACTTCTTCAGATACACTGAAACAGAAGTTGCCAGATCCTTCTATATAGTGAGAAGGTGGGGAGGGGTATTACTCAGAAGGGTGGTGGGAATGGGTGATTGGCAGATAGCTGTGATGAGCCTGTTGACGACTCTTAACGACTGCAATAGGTCTTATAGGAAAAAGCAAGGGGTGAGAAGGTGAAAAATGGCTTTGTCATGTATAATGAGATAAGAATCCAATGTCTTTGTTCAGACCAGGTCTCTCCATGGTTTTAAGTTTGGTAATAAGTTGCAATTCAGCAGCTTCTCTTTCCAGTCTATTTCTGAAATTCCTTTGTAGTAAAACAGCTACTTTGAGATCTTGTATAGAATGTCCTGGGAGATTGAAGTGTTCTCCTACTGGTTTCTCTGTCTTGCGATTCTTGATGTCAGATGTATGTATAACGTTGGTTAGGGCTGTGTGGAACCCTTTTCCCCACCGCTCCCAAATTTCACTAATCCATACCCTCCAACGTCCAGGTGATCCAAACTGGGACGCTCATTTTATTTTGGTCCCTTGCAGGAAGCAGATGACTCACGCCAGAGGTCAAGACAAAAAAGAAGAACGTCTTTTGGTCCAGCATTCTGGTGCGAACCAGCTGAATTGCACCAGAGTGCTGGACCAAAAAAAGAGAGACATTCCGGGATCCAATCAGAAGCCAAGAAAGGTTTCTATAATTCCAGGATGCCCCACTTAAATTGGTTAGAGCGGTATGCTAGTCACACCAAACCTTTTTTTCCTTCTCTCAACATGCTTTAGATGTTTCTCCTGAGTGGGAAACTCCCAAATTACCGCAGCATTTCATTTTAGAAAAAATTAGGTGGCGACTCCAATCCCAGTTCTGATCACGTCTCATACAGCGATAGGCCAGGACATTGTATTTGGGGGAAATTGAGATGGCAGATGGGAACTGTGCTTGATTGCTGTTTAAGGAGCATGTCCACTCTCATCGTTCAGCTCGGACACTAAGATCCATCTCTGAGGGCCTTCTGGTGGTTCCCTCACTGTGAGAAGTGAAGTTACAGGGAACCAGGCACAGGGCCTTTTCGGTAGTGGCACCCGCCCTGTGGAACGCCCTCCCATCAGATGTCAAGCAGATGAGTAACTTTTTAACCTTTAGAATACATCTGAAGGCAGCCCTGTATAGGGAAGCCTTTTAATGTGTAATGTTTTATTATGTTTTTATATATGTTGGAAGCTGGGTGAGTGAGAAGCTCTACCAAGGCCAAAGGCCAGTGCCCAACCTGGCCACCTGCTGGCACTGGGCTTAAACTTTAGCAATGACGGGATCCTACAAACCTATGATTAGACGTTTTGCATTTATTTAAAAGGTCCCAGGTTCAGATTTGGCTGCTCAAGGAGGGGCTGAGATACGCTCCTATCTGAAACGCTGCCAACTGCTTCAAGTTAAGAGTAGAGGCACATGGACTAATAGTGCGACTCAGCACACAAGCAGATTTCTGCGTTCCGAGAAACAGTTTTTGCCTCTCATTTGCAGACAGGAAAAGGGGAGGTCCGGAAAAATTACACTTATAAAAGCAGCCAGGAGACTAATTTGCACAAGGCTGTATTCCAAGGGAAGGGGCTGAGGGGTGTGTGTGGGATTTTCAAATAGGGTTCCAGTTGAAGTGGCAGTTAAACGTGGCTCAGTCTGTGTGAGGAAGCTGGATCTCTGAAGACTGAAGGAGACTCTCAATTTAACCGATGCGGACAGAAATATCTTTTTTTCTGAGCGAGCCAGAGTAATTGATGCCATCTCTGCAGCACTGGGGCCATCTCTCTGCACATCCAATAATTCTCAGGGGGGAACTGCTTGGAAGCTTTCTAAGCAGTCAGCCTAGGGTGTTGGAAAGTGAGAACAATGTGCAGATATCCGTACATAGCAGCACACTTCGGGGGGGGGGTGAGGGTCCCATATGGACAGCAACAGCAAAAATGCCAGGGAGCTGGAAATAAAATGTCCACCCCACACCTCACTGACTCTCTGCGGGGTCACAATGCCCAGAGGGGAGCTGGGAGCTATCATGGCTTTTGTGTGGTTTGTAATCTGCCTTGGAGATCATTAAAATGAAATGCAGAGTATACCTCTTAAAAATAAAAATAAAAATAATGATAATGATGATGATGATGATGATGATAATAATAATAATAATAATAATAATAATAATAATAATAATAATAATAAAAATTTATATCTCGCCCATCTGGCTGGGTTTCACCAGCCACTCTGGGCGGCTCCCAACAGAATACTAAAAACACAATAAAAGATCATACATTAAAAACTTCCCCAAACCAGGGCTGCCTTCAGATGTCTTCTAAAAGTCAGATAGTTGTTTATTTCCACAGGGCGGGCACCACCACTGAGAAGGTCCTCTGCCTGGTTCCCTGTAACCTCACTCCTTGCAGTGAGGGAACCGCCAGAAGGCCCTCGGAGCTGGACCTCAGTGTCTGGGCTGAATGATGCGGGTGGAGACGCTACTTCAGGTATACTGGGCCAAAGCCATTTAGGGCTTTAAAGGTCAGCACCAACACTTTGAATTGTGCTTGGAAACATACTGGGAGCCAATGTATGTCTTTCAGGACCAGTGTTATACGGTCTTGGCGGCCACTCCCAGTCACCAGTCTAGTTGCCGCATTCTGGATTAGTTATAGTTTCCAGGTCACCTTCAAAGGTAGCCCCACATAGAGCGCATTGCAGTAGTCCAAGTGAGAGATAACTTAGAGCATGCACTCTGGCGAGACAGTCTGCGGGCAGGTAGGGTCTCGGTCTGCGTACCAGACGGAGCTGATAAACAGCTGCCCTGGCCACAGAATTAACCTGCGCCTCCATGGTCAGCTGCGTGTCCAAAATGACTCCCAGGCTGCGCACCTGGTCCTTCAGGGGCACAGTTACTCCATTCAGGACCAGGGAGTCCTCCACACCTGCCCACCCCCTGTCCCCGCAAAACACCATTTCTGTCTTGTCAGGATTCAACCTCAATCTGATAGCCGCCATCCATCCTCCAACTGCCTCCAGACACTCACACATAACATTCACTGCCTTCACTGGTTCTGATTTGAAAGAGAGGTAGAGCTGGGTATCATCCATATACTGATGAACACCCAGACCAAACTACGGTAAATGGAAGATCAACTGAATTTCTCCCCCTTTTTCTCTCTGCTGTTTGGATGCGATCTGCAGTTGCCCAAATCTCACATGAACACTTGGCGATAAACACTGCTACCAACTCAGGCCAAGCCTTGGAACAGAAAGAGTTATGGTTTTCGCCTTCTTCTGTGGATTATGCTGCCTTGGTTGGTCATAAGTATGGAAAAGGTCTTTCGTAACCCATTCTGGATCCACCCCTCAATACCCTATTTGGATGGCTTTTTCTCTCATATTTCTGGATCTGCTATAACGACTCAAGAGTGTACTGATACTTTGATATATGTTGTCCTTATTGTGCAAGAATGAATTGTATGAAAATAACTTCTTTGGAGCTGAGCATAAAAATCCCACAAAGCATGAATTAATCACACGAAAGCCTTATATCATGAATACAGGCAAATTAACACTGGCATAACATTTTAAATATTCATTTTAAACTCTTTTTTGGGTATATGTTTTATGTCCTGTACGTCTATAGACCACTGAAGAAGACTTATAGTCGAATTGCATTTGGTTTAGTTATGCTCAGACTGAGTTGCATTTTTAAAATGAGAATTTAAAGGTTTTGTTAGTGTTAATTTGTTCATGCTATAAAATTTCCACATACTTAGTTTATATCATATTACTTTGTAGAATTTTATGTTCCGATCCCAATTTTTCTTTTTTTCTTCTTTTGCTGGGACATATTTTCTCTTTGTCGGGTTTAGTTTGCATGACAATAAGTTCCTTTACAGGCTTGGCATCAGTACTAATATTCCTCGGGCCCCCAGCACCTGGTGCCATTCTGTTTCCCACCCCTCATTTGCCAAAGCAATGCTCAGGAGAACGGTGGGAAATTAAAATGGTGGCTCAGTCCACCCAGTGCTGATGGCAGCCTTGCCAGTCTTCTGTCAGTGGCTTGTCCATAGCTGTCAACTTACAGATTTGAAAATAAGGGACCAGCAGCCTCCAAAATAAGGGATCAGCAGCCAAAATAAGGGATTTTCCGAACACAGGTATGTTCAACTTCTGAGCTACTCCGAGCCAAAGGCAGAAAGCCCAGCCAGCAGCCAAACAAAGCCTCAAGCGGTGGTTCCCACAGTGCAGCAACCCGACAAAGGGGATGCAGCAAGGAAAACCACCGTCACCTCTCCGCTGGGAAGTGCTGAGCAAAGGCGAGTCCCCAGGCAATGCGGCCGATTTGATCAGCACAAGGCATGCAAGCTCCACCCCCCAGTCATTCTCATACTCCTTATTGGGTGAGCAACGCAGCCAAGCAACACAGTTGGAGCCTCCCTCCTCCCTGGTCGGCAGGGAGGGAGGGAGAGGAGCTGCTTCTTTTGAAACCTGGGAAATTTAAGGGACATCATCAATAAGGGACAGCAGCGGGACACGGCGCTGGGATAAGGGACTTTCCCGCCAAATAAGGGACGGTCGACAGCTATGGGCTTGTCGCTGACAGGAAAGCCGACCTGGGCTAACCAAAAGGCCCTTTGCTGAAGTCCCCTTCAAACCCAGTGCCAACGCTGCTTCTTTCATCTGTCTTCTCTTCAATCTTATAAGGTAAAGGTAAAGGTACCCCTGCCTGTACGGGCCAGTCTTGACAGACTCTAGGGTTG